GGCTGGGGAATTCTGGGAGTTGAAGTCCATCCATTTTAAAGCATGCCGGCTGGGGAATTCTGGGAGTTGAAGTCCATCCATTTTAAAGCATGCTGACTGGGGAATTCTGGGAGTTGAAGTCCATCCATTTTAAAGCATGCCGGCTGGGGAATTCTGGGAGTTGAAGTCCATCCCTTTTAAAGCATGCCGGCTGCGGAATTCTGGGAGTTGAAGTCCATCCCTTTTAAAGCATGCCGGCTGCGGAATTCTGGGAGTTGAAGTCCATCCATTTTAAAGCATGCCGGCTGGGGAATTCTGGGAGTTGAAGTCCATCCATTTTAAAGCATGCCAGCTGGGGAATTCTGGGAGTTGAAGTCCATCCATTTTAAAGCATGTTGACTGGGGAATTCTGGGAGTTGAAGTCCATCCATTTTAAAGCATGTGGCTGGGGAATTATGGGAGTTGAATTTCATCCATTTTAAAGCATGCCGGATGGGGAATTCTGGGAGTTGAAGTCCATCCTTTTTAAAGCATGTTGACTGGGGAATTCTGGGAATTGAAGTCCATCCATTTTAAAGCATGTGGCTGGGGAATTCTGGGAGTTGAAGTCCATCCATTTTAAAGCATGTGGCTGGGGAATTCTGGGAGTTGAAGTCCATCCATTTTAAAGCATGTTGACTGGGGAATTCTGGGAGTTGAAGTCCATCCTTTTTAAAGCATGCCGAGTGGGGAATTCTGGGAGTTGAACTCCATCCATTTTAAAGCATACCAGTTGGGGAATTCTGGGAGTTGAAGTCCACCCATCTTAAAGGATGCTGACAGGGGAATTCTGGGAGTTGAAGTTCATTCATCTTATAGTTGGCAAGTTTGAAAAACACTGAAGTAGAGGGAGGTTCATGGCACTTTTGGGGCAATGCCCTTATTTCCTTGTGGTTTCTTCTCCCCCAGATAAAGGAATCGGAAAGCAGTTGCTGGCGAAACTTGCCGAAGTAAGTTCTGAATGTGAATCTCAGGATCTGAGTTATGATGGCCTTGAGGACTAGTGTCTTGTCTCTTCATAACTTCCCCAAGTGAGGCATTGTGGTCCCTTTCTCAGGAAAGACAGATACAGAGAGGCCTCGACTTACAACATTTTGTTTAGTGACCGTTCAAAGTTGCGACGGCCCTGAAAAAAGTGACCCTTTTTCACACTTACGACCGTTGCAACCAAAATTCAGACGCCCGGCAACCGACTCACATTTATGACGGTCGCAGCATCCCGGGGATTCACGCGATCCCCTTTTGCGGCCTCCCAAATGGGGAAAGCCTGCTTCATTTAACGGCCCTGTGCATAATTTAGCAACTGCAGTGATTCCCTTAACGACGGTGGCAAGGAAACAAAACTTGCACTGTCCCGCTTTAGCAGCAGCAATTTTGGGACGCATTTGTGGTCGTAAGTCGAGGACTGTCCTGCACCCCATTGGAACTTTGGTCGCTGGGGGATTGGTTGTTAAGCCGAGGACTGTGCTGTGGGGGTCAGATAAAAGGATCACAGAGCCTGCAGCTTCAGCAGCAGTCTATCAGGGGGTGGGGCAGGCCGATTTCCTTTCCACTGTGGCAGGGGACCGGTGAGGTCGGGCATTGATCCTCTTGCCTCTTTTGCTCTGGCTTTGCAGGTGGCGCTAGCCGCCGGTTGCACCAAGATGAAATTAACCACCATGGAGAGCAACCAGCGGGCGAAGAAGTTGTACCTCGGGCTGGGAGCCCAGGACACCACTGAGTCCACCGCCTGGCATTGCATGGAGTTTAACGAAGAGGGTCTGCGGAGGCTCGTCCAGGGCGGGCGGGCATCGTGAGTGCGCCCCAGGCCGACTCAGGAGGAGGAGGAGGAGGAGGAGGAGGAGGAGGACTAATGCCAACATCAGAAAATCAGGATTTCCCAAGCCTTAAGGGTCAGCCTCTGTTTCGCGACTTGCTTTCGGCTGCCATTGAAGCGGGGAGGGGGCGGCACGATATTTGGGAAGGGAAGTTTTAAGTGGAGAGATTGTGAAAAGGGAGTTTTGTCCTCACCACCTACAGCACGTGCTGGAGATAGTGGATGGGAGCCGCCAAGGCCAACTCTCCTGTATACCAACTTGATGATGCTTTTTGAAGATGACACCTGAGGGATTTGCAGATTGGACTATGGGATGGGGGTTACCAGGGGGAGGGAGATGGATCACATGTTGGTATGTATGATTCCGCGCTCTTTTGCCTCCGATCTTGCTTTGCTTAGCTGCTCCCTACTCATAACAAGTAAAAATACTCTTAATTATGCGAAATGGACTTAAGTGATTTCTTTCTTGGTTGCTGAGAGGCTGGTTTGATACTTAGCAACTTTTAAAATCTTTGGACTTCAACTCCCAGAATTCCCCAGCCAGCATTAATGGACTTCAACTCCCAGAATTCCTCATCCAGAATTCATGGACTTCAACTCCCAGAATTCCTCAGCCAGAATTCATGGACTTCAACTCCCAGAATTCCTCAGCCAGCATTCATAGACTTCAACTCCCAGAATTCCTCATCCAGCATTCATGGACTTCAACTCCCAGAATTCCTCATCCAGCATTCATAGACTTCAACTCCCAGAATTCCTCATCCAGCATTCATAGACTTCAACTCCCAGAATTCCTCATCCAGCATTCATGGACTTCAACTCCCAGAATTCTCCAGCATTCATGGACTTCAACTCCCAGAATTCTCCAG